TACAGGTATCTTCCTCTGCTGCTATGTTTTGACGCCTATATAAACACACAGAGATCTGAGGTCATGCCTGTTCAGAAATCAGGTTATGCAATACAATTTAAAACTTGAAAAATAAGAGAGAAGTGGGAATAAGAAGCTTAGGCCTGACGAAATCCAGGCATCTGGCAAAACAGAGTCTCCTCAGAGACTACAGAGAAAAATGGTGTAACAAAGATGACCTGAGAAACCTACAGACAGGACAACATTCACCACCTCTGTCAATTTTATTGGTGAGGTCAATGCCTTACTTCATTGTCAGACTGATAAGAGATATGTTATAGCTTCACAAAGTGCACTGCAAATGCTAACAGCTGGGGAAGAGGGAAAGGCAACCGTAACAGGGGTGATTTGTCACTGTTCCCATTGTAAATCCATGCTATCAGGGCATCTGAAGTGACTTGTTTCTGTTCTCATGCTACATTTAGAGAATCCCAACCAAGAAGGAAACAAGTTTTCTTCCAAACCAGAAATTACACTGGGTTTTTAGGGCTTCCTGTACGCTCTAGGATGAACGCAGTTATACATCTAATGCCTTCCTCCACTGCTCCCAGACTGACCAGTATGTCTCAGGATGGGCGAGAACCGGTAGCAAACACCGGTCAAGCAACTGACATCCAGAGCAATTTTCTTTTCCTATCTAACTTCCCCCACGAGGCTTCCATAAAATCTCAGGCCAGACCTCTGGCACCCCAAAGGCACCACGAAGAGGGGGTACTTACTCCCAAAACTCCGTGACAGGAGAGGTGAAGTTAGTGGCATTCAGAGATATCCAGAGCGTTTTGTTCTTCCTGAGGGTGTCTTCCACGCAGGTCGGCGTGTTCCACTTCTGGTGGCAGTGTGCCCACGGCAGGACGCTCTGGAACGACTGGAACAGGTAGTAGAGTCCCCAGGCCAGGATCACGATGTAGTACACATTCAGAAGGGACACAATCACTATGGAAGCATAACCAATTCCTGGCAAGAAGAGGAGAAAAAAGAAATACATGCAGACGTGACAGCCGCTTCTTGCTAGGGTGCCTTGTGATCTCGTGGAGCTGGTGCTATTCCCGCTGTGTTGCGGACTTGTATCCTGCTCTACCACACTGCTGTTGGAAGCTCAACTCAACTTGATCACCCCTAAGCACAGACCTGCCATCATCTCTGACTAGCACGGGCACCCAAGGTTGAGTTTCTGGCTGAGGTTTGCTGACAGCGGAGGAGAGGTCTGCAGGACATCTACCCCATTTAACACTAACCCGGCTATGTCAGGTTTTATTAAAAGGAAATCAAGGCATCACACTTTGCTTCTTTGGGAGCTACACCACCTCACGTCTTAGGTACCTACTTGGGCAACATCATTCTCACCACACTGTCCTCCAAGCCAGCTTCCTTGGAGGCAGCTCGGCTGCGCAGCCCCTGCACCACTCATACTTATCGACTGGCTCGGCTCAGCCTATGTGCAAAAAAAAAGACAGTTCTTGAATGAGTTTAAAAGGAAAATTCCAAAGCAATCAATGTGAAAGCTGCTGTTTCTGCCCCAATTTCACTTGTGCAAAGGAAGCATGATATTTGTAGCTGTTATGGGTAATTAGATCAATGTTTAACTCTGCTATCAATATTTGATGATAAAAAATGTTCCCTGTTTGTTTTCATAAGCAGGGTCATGGGCAGATAAGGGCGAGTCCTGCACAACTTTGGGAAGTGGCGGAATGCTGTTCTGGTGGAGGCTGTAATTAAATACCACAACTTCTGAGTCTGGTGTCTCTCCCCTAGCTCGGCAGTTTAGCTCCACCAGCAGATGCATACTACGTCTTAAGTCAGAAGCAGTCACTATTTTTTTAAATACAAAATGAAAGGGAACTGAAAAGTCCTCTTTACTGAAAATCTTTCAGCTCCAAAAAGCTTACAAAGTTTGCCATTTAGGAATAACAGGGGGGAAAAAAAGATTTCCTTTAAAAACTTCGAGCAGTCTCTTACAAGAGGACAAAAAGCCTAAGAGGTTCCCTTTAACATCACTCTGACGGCTACCCCAGCACCTGGGATACCTGCCTCATATTTTCTAGTTTGAAACCTTATTGCAACAAGAGTCTTTACCACCAGAGATTATTTTTATGCCAGGTGAAAACAACCAGAGCAAGTGCTATTTATTCTGTACAGCTGCATTTCATTCAGGATATACAGCTAGTCACCTTATTAGAGCTACGATTTCTCTTTATGGATGCCTGGGAGATTGTTATTTAAACAAGGAGCATTCCTTCCTCCTCCACCTCAAAAAAAAAGGCTTCATAAAAGTGGGAGGAGGAGGAAGAAAATGGAGCTAAAGCAGCACAATTACATCAACTTCAGCAGCGTTCTGAGTATTGGGTGGGAGCGTGACCCATGGAGAAAGCCCTCACTTCTACCTGGGGTGATGTAAGGGGAGAGAGATGCCTGGAACAGCGACGGTGGCAGAGCTAGAGACACGTCGTCAAGAAGTGCCCACTCTGTCCAAATGGGGTTTGAAGAGTGCCCCTCTGTTTAGTGGCATTATTCCAAATGATTCTGCCTGTGCTGTCTGGCTGTAAAGGGTAATCTATACATAAGAGAGACATCCTCAGTAATTTTTCTAAGCTGTCTTTCATTTTTCATTCTTGTTAATCTCCATAGCAGCATTCGTGTAGTTCCTGTGAGCAGCGAGTGATTCTTCATTCACTGGCAAAGGCCCTTGAATTCAACACCAGACCAACATGCCTGTTTGCCAGGACCTGCTCAGTTATGACCGAAGTCCCATCCCTGAATGCTACCACAAAATGCTGTCCAGGTTTTGGCTGTATGGGTAACAGAGAGATGATGCCAATGATAAGCTTTCACATGGCAGAGGGAGTTTGACTTCCAGACCAGAATAATATTTTGAAGATGCTTTCACTAAGGCCATGTGTAAAAGGCTCTAGACTTCCAAAACAACACTTTCTCCGATACCTGTGAATAAAATGTGTAATTGCCTTTTTAAGGCATAATATGCAGTTTCTTTCTTGCTTATCAGCAGTTCTGCCAGTTAACAAGATCAGAGCATCAAAATCAATACCTCACTTTGTCCTTCAGACTCTCTGACTTCTACCTTTCCAGGAACCAATATCATACCCTCAATTACTACAGCAAATAGCTGAATTAATGGACACGAGGGGAACAGCGTTGCTGCATATGGTTTACAGAGGTGTCTTTAAGCAGTAAAGCACAACAAGATGTACTAACCAGTGAAAATAGGGCAGATCTTTTCCCAGCATGTAATTCCACCTTCAGAGGTATACTGTCCTAGCACCACCTCCAGGAAAAACACGGGAAGACCTCCCCCAAACAGGAAAATGAAATAAGGTATAAGAAATGCACCTGTTGAGAAAATATAATAGCACAAAATTGAGATGGAGTGAGTGACTTTACACAAAATAGTCTAAGAAGTGTTAACAGACATACATAAACAAAGAAACCCATTTGATACTTTAACATCGGCACAGAGTAATCTTATTCTGGGGTATTTTTGCTCATATTCAAACTCTCTAAGTGGAATGGGTACATAAAGCTGGAAAAGGCATTTTCTTACCTTTTTAAAGTGAAAATCTGCAATAACAATGGGGTTAGGCACACAACAGTTTCACGTGGCTCAGAATGCTCTTATTCTGAAATCCACTGGTCTGAAATCCTACTGGTCTGTATTAGTAGCATGTCTTTTGGTTAGAACTCAGACTCAGTCGTAGCAGAAGTAAAAGAGCAGAAAAGGTTCAGTAGCATAAAATTTTAAATTGCTGTTGCTTTTCCCTAATTAAGTTTTACCAAAAACTATTAACTAATAAAACAATCTCTCCCAAAGACTGATGAAGAAGCCAGAAAACAGATGTGTGATTATTCTTTTCAAAAATTGTATGAAGGCACTGAAAAATAGCAAGCATGCGGCAGACAGATCGATTCATGCGAATGAAATAAAGAAATACTCACCTCCGCCATTTTTGTAGCAGAGATACGGAAACCGCCAGACATTGCCTAAACCAATAAATCCACCAGCCACGGACAGCAGAAAGTCAATCTTGCTCGCCCACTTCTCCCGTTGGGGCGGCTTTCCTTCCGCCTCATCCTCAGGCCGTGTCCCCGGGCTCTTGCCAGGAGAAGGTTTGAGGATGTCCTTGTGGAAATCTTTCAAGCACTGAAGCTTTTCCTTTGTTGCCATGTTTCTGCTTTCTACATAGAAAAAAAAATACCCTGAGTTTATTAAACCGTCTTTACTTGTAGAGCTCTCTAACACCGCAAGAACTGTTTAACCAAACTCAGTTCCACAAAACCCAGTGCTGTTTATCAAGCCGAGACATGAAAATACATCTGCTGCCTTCACTGACCAGGAGAGACGAACCACCCCTGGACTCTGCTGTCACCTCTTTGCGGCCAATGCAGTGTAGGGGACAGCAAAGGTTTGACACCACTGCCTACCGGCTGGCTGCAGACAAAAGGTGTATGAAGGCTGCCCACTGCATCAGCATCAGCAGATAGTGTTACTGAGCAAGTGCCTCATGCTGTTTTCACGCCCATAATAAGGTACAAATCACTGCATCTGATTCCTTCTCAAACATTTAAGTGAAATACAGCAGAACAGTAAATCTCACCTTTCCAGATAAAACCCATTCCTCTATTTCCCAATAACCTGAACCATTTATTGCCTGCAATTTCCTTTCCCTGAAGTATTATAAAGCTTTCAGAAAACTACACATTCATAAAAACTGGAATGGAAAGTCATTTGTTCTAATCAACCTGCAGGAACTGAAGGAATCTCTTCAGTTTATTCCATTTTCATAATGGCACTGTTTTCCCTTGACATCAATAAAGGGACAAAAATAAACCTTTATATTCAATTATTGTCTTATACGCACCTATGCAGTTGAACAGTTTGCCAAGAATGGTGGCTTCTTAGTTAATTAAAAAGTCAGTGGCATGTGTCACCTGATGCAAAACCCAAAGAGTATTAAATCATAGCTGATTTTATAGTTTATGTATATAATTTATGATGTCCAAAAATCAGAGATTGTGTAAAAATAATAACAGAAAGAATTACTCTAACAAATGCTTTTTTATCCAGGATTTCCTCATGAAAACAATTTAGGAATAACTTGTAGCTGTTACGTTAACTCAGATCTCAGGCATACGAGGCCAATTCATTCCCCACATAACTCAAGTGACTTTAGCTGGATCTGACCAGTTATTTTTGCATAGTGTTTTGATACCGAAAAGCACGTGAAATTTTCACCAGAACCAGGCAAACCAGCAAGTTTATTCCAGATCACGACCATTCCCTGCTTGTACATGTCATTATGGGTGCAGTCATAAAAAAATTATGCTACAGATTATCCCATTTGATAGCTGCAAGCCTCCTGTGTATACCTGCTTGCTGGTTTTGATCTCTAACCTGATTTAGCTTGTGGCAGTGACCTGAAACTTCAGTTGACATTAGCTCTGCAGGAAGTTTTTAATTCGAATATGGTTTTGAGATAGATATGCACCGCTGTACCCGTAAATCTTTCCATCCACTACGGAAAGTTTCAGAAGGCTAACATTTTTGCAAACCACAGCAGCGCAATATTCGCCCCACTGACATACTGGTGGCCTTTGCAATACAGTTATTGCGACAGCAATTGCCTATCAGGCCATGATCTAAAAAGGGACTTTAATCTTCACAATGCTAATCATTATGGCTTTCTACTGTTTTTTAAAAAAAGGCCACTGGTGACTGCACAGAGGTGATATGAGCAACTGCAATACCTCCTTGTCAACAGCAGAGAGAGCTCATAGACGGAGAAGGCTCATCACAGGGTGATGGCTCATCACCACCCACTGCAGGGGTATGAGGGCAGGACACACATTCCTCTAAAACATCTCCTATTGGCTGCTGTTAGAGACATGGCATGAGATAAAGTAGGGCAGTAACTGAGTAAAAATGGTAGGGCCGGCTCTATGACAGCCTTTAGGCACCTAGTTGCTTCAGGGAATTAATCCAAAATAGCTAACTCGTGTTCCTTGTGTCATGCATGGAGATTAACGGAGGTGCCTCCAAGAGGGATTCACAGTAGCTTTAACCTCCCTGGGACATCCGCATCTCACTCCAAGCCCCAAACAGGCACCACCCTGCATCATCCCCTGGAGACACCTCCTGGGGGAGAAAAAAAAAAAAAGTAGGTGCAACCGCTTTTTTTCAAAGAGGTACCTGCAAGGTGGCTGATGTCCTGCACTCCCTGCAACAGCAACTGGGCATGGAGAAAGCCCAATTTCACTTTCTTTTGCTATTTGTGCTGCTTGAATCCCTATCTTTCATCTCGCAGGAGAATGTCATAACCATCAGGCAACAGGCTATTCTGGGCTGAGGAATGGAGGGCATTTGGACTGTCTCTCATGGAAGCTGTTCTTCACGGGGGTTACTGAAATACTCATCAACAGAGGAAGAGAGTGTGCAAAAGAGAGAGTAACTCACACCTCGCGTTTAGGGTACGCTCTTGTTTTTCCGACAGTTTTTTGGTGAACTGCTGGGACAGCCATAAACCTGCTTAACAGGGCACAGAGATACAAACGTTATAGATCCTTGCAGGATTAAGGTCTGAAATAGGAGCTTAACTGCTCCCCACGGGGACTGATACTGGAAACACCCCGAAACAGAACACTGGGCACGTGGGGAACATTTGTGTAAAAAAAATGAGGGGACCTATGGACATTAGCCACGTCTGAAATGAAAAACTCTTCCAGGATTGCAATTTTTTGCAACCTACTTTTATCTTGCAACACAGAGTTCTTTATTTTTCTGCCAGCTCTAATCTTCTTGCCTGCGGATTTACGTTGACTCAGGTGGCACCCAGTTCTACCCAGAATTTGCAAGCCTGACCAACTGATTGCATTCTGCAAACCCTAACTCTCCCCGGGACAAGGTGGTCACCCTGTGGTTTGTCCCAATTACCTGCACACGAAGCGTGAAATGGTGCCTTTTCAGACTCCTACTTTGTAACTGCATGGGACTGCATTTTAAAAAGGGATTTCTAATTTATCTTAAGACACCCCAAATTAATGGCCACGCTTGAAATCCTCATTACTGAGTGTAAATTTTGTTTCAGCCTCAGCTGGAGTGTGAAGATGGATCATGATCTTTCCCTTAGCCCACAGACGACAAATCCTCAGGTCACGCTTGCTTTTGGGGTGGCCGTTTCACCGTACGGGTGCCAGGAGATGGACCACCAGAACTTTGTTGCAAGTCACCAGCTCTTGCTAGTGGGGCACGGTACAGTATCTCTCCAATGCTTGCACAAAATTAGTAACAGCCTGGTTTTACTGTGTATCTCTTATCTAGTCTTGCTAAAATCCCAATTGTGTTTCGAGGGCCGGCAGCTGTGGCTGGCAGGCACGTACCATTGACCAATACCATAGGAATTGACGCTAAGCGGCCACCTGGGACTGCAGTCCCAGCCCATGTCACGTTCAAGGGATGTCGGATTTATCCCCCTTTGCTGCCAACCATTGGTGTCCACCCAGCCATTCCCAATTACAGGAACTGTCTACAAAGGCTGCAAGGGTGGGGGGTACAGGCGATTCTCCTTGGCGAAGAAAAGCCAAGAAAATCAAGTTTGTTTAGTGAAAGGCATTGTCTTTTTCCTTAATGGGGTTGGAGTTTCATTTCCTTTAGTTATGTCCCACTGGGTGAGGTTAAAATGGCTCTTAAGGGAAATCGTCTGACAGAGATGCTGAAACAATATGTTGTCACCGCCCAGGTCAGAACCAGAGAATAATAGGTTATTTTTACTGTATCACTTAGTGGGGATGGTATCTGAGATCTAAGTCCATCTGATTCCCCCAAGGAAATATATTGTAAGAAAATGCTCTTACAACCACATAGTGCAAAAGGAGCGATCCAAGTCTGAGACATGTGTCTGCCTCCTGGAGACACACGTCTGCCTTCCAGGAGCCACATCTGCCTGTGAGAGTACCCCCTCCAGGAAGCTTCGGATGGCCCCAGGAAGCTCTGGCTTCATCTGATGAACTTGATATGGATAAATAAAAAGCAGCAGAGAAGTCTGCCCGTTTACAATGTGCCACTAGGCTGAGCCCAGCCAAACAGCTACAGCCTGACCCGAAAGCAAGGGGAGAAAGGATCCAGACTGGACCAGGCCCAGGATCTGCTCTCACGTACACTGGTACAAACCCTAATTAACTGAGGATGAAGTTATCGATTGTCAAATCGATGCTGGTAAACGTGGAAAAATAGAACAAGGGAGCAAGCGTGAGCTCTTTGCACTTCTCAGGCATCTGGTGCGGCCAGGAGCACCTCAAGGGCTCCTCTCCTCCTGCAGGAGAATCACGCATCTGGCCCTTGTGCCCGGTGCACAAATTTCCTCATTTGAAATAGCCCCTGCGATAACCCAAACTCTCTTGCTGCCCCCCGTGACTGACTAGTCTTTGGTGCACAGCTGAAAATACCAAAAGATTAGCCATAAGCAGAGAGGTTTCACAGCCAACCTGGCTTGGACCATCTACTGTGCTACAGTTATCGTATTTTTGCACGTACAGCCTGCACCTCAGATAACCCATACCCTTTAAAAAATACTGGCATTGAAATGTAATCCTTCATAACATGCAAAAAATGAGGGGTAGGGGAAGGGGGAGGGAGGCAGTGGGCAGAGGAATCAGATGAGGAGAGATGCAGATGGGGGAAGGCCACCAGCGTGGACAGGACCTGCTGGTTGTCAGAACAGACATCCACTGACTTTTTTTGACAGACAACCCAACGGATTACACATCTGAAAATACACTGTTCAATTTCTGCTTTGGGATTACAGTAATGATCTGCTCCAAGCTTCTTATAGCCAGAGACAGGCGACCAACGCAGGGTAACACCTTCCAGGAGGAGCCCTGAGGACAAGTTCATCGTGGATGCTACCTCACTTAATCATCTTTAAAAATCAAGTCTTCAAAACAACAGTTTTCCAAATGCTGATGGAAACAGGAAAATCAAAGTCTGCCTGTACACACAGATACGCATTTGTAAATATTTACGCACGCTAAAATCCATGCCCTGTCTGGTGTCTGAAGATCAGAAACCACAGCAAAGGAGCTACTTCTTTTTTGGTCAATGCACATAAACTTTGAATAGGGATTCAACACACTGAATTGGTGACTAGAATCGTAACTGAACATTTGTTTTCTAGCTCCTTCTT